CTTTTTTTGAAAAATCAACTAATATAGAAGAATTAGATGATAATGAAATTAGTAATGAAGGTGATGAAGGTGATGAAAGTGATGAAGGTGATGAAAGTAATGAAGGTGATGAAGGTGATGAAGGTGATGAAGGTGATGAAGGTGATGAAGATGAAGGTGAAGGTGAAATCAATGACAATAATATTCTAAGTAATTCAAGTCATCTTCAAAATCGTAGAAAAAAAAAAACATCTGTTTTATTAAAAATCTCTAAAGGAAAAAAATCAAAATTAAAAAAATCAAAAACAGTAGCAGCATTGAGAACTAGTTTTGTTTGGAATTTTTTCATAACTGATCATGATATAGAAATAGATGTTGTTTATACAATTTGTCAAATAAAAGATTGTACATGTAAATATACCTATCATGGTTTTACAACTAATTATACAAAACATCTTTGTGATGATCATCATATTACTAAAGTTTCATTATTTTCAAAAACTCCAGAAGAAATAAGTAATCTAAAATAATCAAAAAAATAACAATCTATTGATAAACTTTTATCAAGACCTCTTAGTTCAAGAAGACAAAAATTATTAAATCAAGATCTTGTAAAATTTATAGTAGAAACAAAACAACCATTATCTATTGTTAAAAGTGATTTATTCAAAAATTATATTAATACTCTCAATCCACAATTTTCTATTCCTTGTATTTAGGATTAGGAATTGTCTTAATATTTAGACTCAATTAATCATCACGAATAATTGACGAATAATCGTGAATAATCATTAATTATTCATGATTATGCAACAATTATTCAACAATTATTTGGTGATTATTTAATGATTATTTGATAATTATTCATAATTATTTGACAATTATTTATGATTATTCAATGATTATTCACGATTATTCAACAATTATTTACAATTATTCAACGATTATTCAATGATTATTCAATGATGATCATTCAACGATTATTCAATGATTATTCATGATTATTTAACAATTATTCATGATTATTTAATGATTATTCACAAATATTCAATGATTATTTACAGATTTTTGCATGGTTTTTTTACAATTGTTTTTCTTTAAACCAAGCGATCACCACGAATATCGAAGCTACAGGAATAAAATATATATAATTTTGTAGCTAAGAATGATGCTGATCTATCTATCTTAGAAATATCTTAGTAAAAAATCTCTCCGTGCCTCTCAAATTACGAGCGAAGTCAAAAAATAGAAAAAATATATAAAAATCTTGTGCAAGTGTTGAAATTTGTATAAATTTTCACCTAATAAAATTTTCTAATGAAATAAATGTTTGTTTCTTTTAAATAAAATATTTATTTAACACTCAATTTTGATATTAATTAGTAAATAATAAAGTTTATTATGTAATAATGTAATTACAAATTTAAAATTTTCATATTAAATTAATTTGATAATATTTTTATTTAAAATAATTTTTGATTTATTAATATAATTAA